TGTCTCTTGCTTTCATTCACCACCCCCTTCTTTTTGAACAACCATCTACCTGAGAGACAGCATAGCAGCAACTGGCAAGTCATGACAAGCAACCTCTTCCTAGTTTTCTTATTAAAATATTTTTATATGCTTGGCATTTCAATTTTCCTATATTATATTATTATATAGCTGATATCCTTTAATATTGTTTAAATATCTAATACAATATTTAATGGTGTACTTAGCTTAAAAGTAAGATTCAAAATTGGTGGCCCTATTGATGACTTAATCTGTTGAGTTTCAGTGCTGGCCCACTGTATAGTACGAGTAGCATGATCAGTGGCAGCAGGCTGCAAACCATGCTTGGCTAGAAGGCTGAATATTAGAACTGATGCCATATAGCAGGCATTCATTGAATCATCCTCTGTATGTTCACTCTTTCTTATTCACAGGAAATACCAAGTTTCATTACCTCCAGAGTCCACAAGCGAAGGTGTCCGTCCTCATGAGCAGAGACCACGATGGGGGGCTGAGCTTCTGTTAAATTGGCAGAGTTGGGGCCCTTTTTGCCTGCTGGCTGTTGCTCTCCCATTATATCTGTGTATTCACCTGTTGGAGAAATTAATGAGCTACCATGGTATTTGCACTACTTGGAACTCTAAATTTCATGGAATTTTAAAGAGTTATCAGGCAGGAAAACAGCAAAACAACATATTTTTTCCATATATACATTTTTTTCTTTTTTTGCTGAACTTTGAGAATATAGGTCAGAAAAAAAAATAAGCAAAGAAAATATTTTTTTTCTTTTTTGATTTTTTGTATTTTAGGGAAGGGTCTACATGGTGTTCAGGGTCTCACTACTAGATCAGACTCCTAGTGATCTGCCTGTTCACAGCCTCCCAAGAGCTGGGATTACAGTCATGCGCCACCACACCTAATCTCAATTGCCATGCCCTGGGAGTGGGCCAGCATGGCAGGCCTGGGGATCAAAACTTTTCTTCATGCATTGAGATGATCATGTAATTTTTGTCTTTGGCTCTGTTGATATGCTGTATTATATATGGATTGGCATACATTGAATCCTCCCTGCATTCATGGGATGAATCCCACTTGGTCATGATGTGTAACCTTGATAATTTGCTGCATTCTGTTTTGCTAGTATTTTATTGAGGATTTTTGCATTTATGTTCATTATGGACATCAGCCTGTAGTTTTCTTTTTCTGGTTTTTGTATCAGGGTAGTACTTGCCTCCAGAAATGAGTTGGGGAGAGTTGTTTCCCTTTCAATTTCATTAGAGTTTGAGAAGAATTAGCATTACATCTTCTTTAAATTTTTTATAGAATTCAGCTGAGAATCCACCAGGACCTGGGCTTTCTTTTGTTGGTGAGGTTTTTTTTTTAAATTATATCTTCAAGTTTGTAGATGGATGTTGTTATTCACAATTTTTGTATCTTCTTCATTTAACCTTGGTAATTCAAACAACTGGGAATTGGGCTCAAGGGGAAAAAGTACTGTATTCCATCACAGAAAGTCCGTGTTTGTAAACTAGTTGTTTGGACTGGGGATGTATTCAGTTGTAGGCACAGTACTTGCTGGGCATGTGTGAAGCCCTGGGTTCCACCCCCATCACCACAAAAATGCAGAAAATAAAAGGAAATTTTATTACAAGGAACAGAGTAACACCTACCTTTACCCTCACTGTCCTGTATGCTTTGCTTGCTTCCCTGAATGACAGAAGAGGAGAAAATATTTTTATGAAATCGTAAGGAAAAGACATTGGATGAGTAGATTCTCCAGGTAAATGAATTTTCACTTCTAAGCATTGATGTCAAACTTACTTCTAAATTAGTTCTTTGAAAAAGAAGTATTTCATAGATTTTTGTTGATAAATAGGAAATTTCTATCACAACACTTTTCTTATGACTCAGGAATAGCATAATGATGAAAATAATTAAACATCCAATACATGCCAAGTTCTTGGTATATATTGCCAGCTCTTCTTACAATTATACAACTTTGTATTACTGTATTACTGTTTACTGATGAGTCAACAGAAACTCAAATCAAGTGATACCTCTAAAGCTAATCAGACAATGAAAACTTGGATTGAAGTGCAAGTGTTTCTGGCTTTCACTTTTATCCATGTAAGTTTATATATTCTACTATGCACATTGTTTTAAAATAATTTTTCTTGACATGGACAATGTGGGGCTGGGGAGAAGGCTCAGTAGAATAAGAGCTTCCCTGGCAAGCGCAAGGGCCTGAGTTCAATGCCTGGTTCCACCAAAAACAATAACAACAACAAAAATGACATGGACAATGTATCTAACAGTGTACCTTCACTTAGTACAGTTGCCTTACATATTTTATATGTTCATTCGCATATTAGTCTGGTTTTTAATCTGTATATATGATAATTAACTTTATAAGGGCTGATAAGATAAATAAATCTGATGCTGGAAAAATAAAAGATGGTTGAGAAAAGGTGAAAAAAAGAAGTGAAATGTGTTACCTACATATAGCAATTTCCTACAGTGAATGTAATCATTATGTACTGTAAACATGTACTAATAAAAGTTTTTAAAAATTGCTGTGAAAATGTTTCTTCAAACAAAACCCTAATTAGAAATACAGTGTATAAAATATGTAAATTTGGAACTGAGAACACATTGAAAACTGCGTTACATTATGTGTTGCAATAACTATAATTACAGTATAAGTTCTTATGAAATATAATACCTTTTAGAAAGAGACACAGTCTAAAATTACTTTTTATCATATGAGTATAAAAATAACAAACATAATTATCTTATTTATTTTCAGTGTTGGAAATTATACCCAGGACTTTACAATGTTAGACAAGGGCTCTACCACTGAGCTGTATCCCCAGCTTTTTTAATTTGATACAGACTGTCACCAAGTCACCCAAGCTGGTCAACATGAAATCCTACTGCCTCAGCCTCCCAAATAACTGAGTTTACAGGCATGCACCACTAAGCCTGCCTGGATAATTTATTTTATTAATGATTATGTATTGATTATTTGCAGATGTGAAAGTTTTTTTTTAAAAAAAGATAGACATTGATTTTCAAAAAGGTTTTACAAATATATATTGAAGTTTTGTACCTTTGCCTTACGTCAAAAGAGGGGCTTAGATACTCTATTTCTGAGCCAGTGTTGGGTGTAACAGGAAAGCATCTGTTGTGTTTGACTTACCTTACTACTCTGTGCACCTTTGCTAGATTCACAATGGGATGAAGAGCATATAGACTCTTGACTCAATCTCCTACAAAAGTAGTAAGGAATCCAAAGGATGAAAAGTTAAGACATTCTCTCATATCAAAAAGCATTTCTCTCTGTTTTAATTTTAGTTGATTTCCATCATCTTTGGGTACTGGGACACTCAGGAAACCAATTATACCTTATACTTTGTATAACAAATGTTCATTGATATGGTATTGGTTGAGCCATAGAAATTAAGGTCTGCACTGCTCCTTGGGTCTGGGAAATGACGTCTGCCTTGTCTCACTGTTAAAGCTAGACTTAGTCCCAGAAGTTATTTACGGTGAAGTGGCTGGGAGTAGGGTAGTGGTGGAGAGCCCAAGGAGTCAGGCTAACTTCCTGCTGTATAGTGGGTCATTCTGGCTTCATTCTGCTGTGCTTTGCTGAAATGGGCTGAGACATGGCTTAGGGTACTGTTGCTGATGTACATTGAATAAATCCTCAAAATAATCTCCATATGATTTTTGTTGAAATTTCAAGCACACAGGTGGGGCAAGGGAATGTGTTATATTTTGGCTTACCAATGAGTGGCTCTCAGCTAGCCCAGAAAACTTTGAGTTCTCCCCAGACATGTGTTTAACTTTGTTGATTGTCTCAAAACCAGAATACTCATGCAAACTTAAATAGAGAACTGCTCCTACTAAAATATTAAGAAGAATTCTCCTCCTCTCTCAGAAATAGATAGCAATTGCTTAGTTATATTAGATAATATGTGAAACCTCTAAGATGGTCTTCCATCCTTGCATAACAAGTCCTACTCTTGGTTCACACCAGTAATCATGGTGTGAGGTTTTGGATAAAAGTGTGGCCAAATGAACATTTTCTTTTTTTGTGTGTGTGTGTGTGTGTGTGTGTGTGTGTGTGTGTGTGTGTTTACTTCTTTTTTTTTCCTTTTCAAAGTTTTATTGATAAACATATAGCAATGAGACAGTTTCAAATCAAATCGAGAGTACAGTTTCAACAAATAATACACTGCATATATTCTTCTTAGTGGTTAATTGCCAAATGAACATTTTCATTGTCCATTTCTGGCCACTGTGGGAAAGGATGCTGAGAGGTTGACATGATCAGGGACTACACAGCACATCTGATCCCTGATAACCACCCCAACTACATAAAGATGATGAAAGGGAAGAAAGTTGAAGGAAGCTAAGACATCAATTTAACTTATGTTTTCTTTCCTAGTCTCTCCTCTTTAATCCTGGGATAAAAAACAAAGCAAAACAAAACAAAACTCTTTATGTCACCTACATAAATTCCAACTGGGATTACTTGATCAGTAAGTACTGGCTTACCTTGCACATTCAGGGGTACGGAAGAGGAACAGTATGTCATTAATTCTAAAGCGCTTGGGATCCAGGTCTTGTTGCTCCACAGTGGAGCAACTTTCAGGATGGTACCTGAAAAGAATATACCTTTACATGACAAAGTTCACAAATTATTCATTATATACCCCACACAGACTCAAACAACTTCTAAAATGTTGGTTCTTTGAACATAAAGTGAAATTCAGAGAGGTGAATTTGACTGTGTCTTTTTCTTTTCTTTTTGGCTGGCTCAGCCCACCCTGAGGGTGGGGCTGGAGTGGATGTGGGTTGAATTGCAGTCCCCTGTGCCTGCCTAAGCTTTCCTAAGCAGGCACTTTAGACTGCTGAGCTATCTTGCCACCCCTGACTGTGTCTTTTTTAAGTAAGGCTTTATGCATTGCATGTTTACTTAATGGCTTGAAGGTTTTAATTCAGTGAATCAGATAAGTCCTCCTATCTATAGGTTAGAGTTTGGAGTTTTATAATCCTATCTCTTGGAAGCCTGATACAGTTTAAAATTTAAGTAATAGAATTCTATATAGAGTGACAAATTTAAATAAAACATGACCCTAATCCTGAAGAGTTTATAGTTGAATAAGAACAGGTAAATTCCTGATTGCATTGCTCTTGCTGCTAAACTCCCCTGTGGACTCAGATTCCAAGATTGATACACCTTCCTAGGCATTGGTTTGGAAACAGTAAAAGTTCCTAGCTGCCTATGCCAGTACTTCATGCTTGGTTCCTGGAATTGTACTCAGTGCTCCTTGTAGCAAGTTGACCTTTTAGCAGCTTGTCTCTTTTCCTTTCATGGGAATGCTCTAATAATTTGAGGTGATGAGTGTTTGATACAGTTTTGATCAGGAAATGTCCCTTAAAGGCCCATGTGTTATGGCTTAGTCCTTGTTTGGGAGATGGTGTTGTTGTTATTGCTGTTGTTGTTGTTGTTGTTCTTCTTCTTCTCCTCCTCCTCCTCCTCCTCCCTCCTCCTCCTCTTCCTCCTCCTCCTCTTCCTCCTCCTCCTCTTCCTCCTTCTTCCTCTTCTTCTTCCTCTTCCTCCTCCTCCTCC